AGAGGCCGGATGAGCAGTTCAGGCGAGGCTTTCCCGGGACCCATCCTGCAGCACAAGGGACAGAAAACAAGTAACAGGTTCCCTCGCTCACTCCCGGGGGGTGGTCTGCGAGCTGGTCCCTTAACCGGCGTGAGGGTAGGGGCAGTCCAGGGGTCAGGCCCGAGGGCTGGCTGAGGGGGCCTGCCCACCCCCTTGGCTGTCTGTGTGCAGGGATCTTGAGCAGTCCGCAGAAGTGGCAGCTGGGTTTTTGATCTTTTTGTTGCTTATTGCTCATGACTGGCCCCAACAGCACGTGCACGCAGTTGTTTTTAGTCCCTTACAGTTTCTTCGTGTTCTGTTGCTCAGTCCCAGTGCGTGCCCGGCAGCAAAGGGTCCCAGGACCCAGCCTGTCTCCGCAGCAGCGTTTATGGTGTCCCTTGCTGGATGCCAGGACAGGCTTGTTTCATGACTCGTCTGGTTTAACCCTCTCCATAGCTTTTGAAGGACGCAGCTCCCATCTTACAGACGAGGAGCAGAGGCTCAGGAAGATTCGATAACCCGTCTAAGGCTGCCCACAGGCAGCCATCAGCGCTGAGGTCAGGTAGGAAAAGGAGACCCCTCTCAGCAGGGGGCTTGGATTCGGTGGACCCAGCACTCAGGATCTTTTAGCCAATTCAAGAAGGAGGTATCCTTCCTGGCAGACACGGGCCGGGCCAGGATGCACGGCTCAGGAGTGAGGTGCAGGCTGAACGGCAGCCCCCTCGTCCCCAGAGCCAAGTGCCTTTGTTCAAGTCACGTCTGCACACCTGAAGGGGGCACCTGATTCCCCCACTCAGACATGGTGCATCCAAGCCTGGAATCTCCGTCCATCTGACCCCAGAGCCTCCTGACCAGTGTATCAGTTAGGGGCCAACCCGAGAAACAGAACCGACGGTGTGAAATACGGAGAGAGATTTATTGCAAGACATTGACCTACATGATCATGAGGGCTGCTGGCTGGCTGATCTGAAACCCACAGAGCCGGCTGGAAATCTCAGACAGGAGCTGAAGCAGAATTTCTTCCTCCTCTGGAAACCTCAGTTCTCTTACGAACTTTCACCCCTTTGGAGGAGGCCCACCCACATTATTGAGGACAATCGCCTCTGCTTAAAGTCAGCTGATGGTAGCCGTTAATCACCTCTACAAAATGCCTTCCCAGCAACAGCCAGGCGCAGGTTTGATTGAATAGCTGGGGATGATGGCCCGGCCGAGTGGGCACGTCATGCCAACCGTCCCAACCACCTGCGATTTCTGCCCTTCCCACGGCATCACAGGTGTTGGGCTGGAAAGGTCTCCGATCACCCCTTCCCACCTGTGGGGGTGGCCCAGGCTTGCCTGGGTCCCATTCTTTGTCCCGGCGAGGTTAGTCATATGGTGCATTAATCACGCGTAAAGGAAGCCCCTCTGGCTTTTACACCTTCCTGTGGGACCTACAGAATCTGTCCTGCTGTCTTGTCTCCTAAGCTCTGGCTTCTGCTGTCATTGGCGGAAGGGAGCAGCGGGGAGCTTGGCTGCAGGGTCTGCCTGAGTGACTTAACCTCTTTGGACTTCAGTTTCCTCCTCCATAAAAGAGAGACAATGACAGTTCCCACGACGTGGGGGTGTAGCCAGGATGAAAAAATGACAAGTTCCTAAAGGGCTGAGAACAGTGCCTGGCCTGTGGATAGGGGTCAATAAACGGGAGTCGCCACGGTGATGAGGAACTGAGGATGCTCCTCTGGCCCATCACTTCCTCCTGGTCCAGGCAGCACCTTCCATCCATCAACCCCACGATGCAGCCGCCTGGAGCCTGGCACCACAGAGGGCATCCCAGGGCGGACCCGTCCCTCCCGCTGTCTACGCCCGCGGGAACAGGAGGCGGTCCCTCAGCATCTTGAACTTACTTCCAACTTGTAATTATCATCTAGTCTTGTGAGGATGAAAAGATAATATTATCTAATATTTAAGGGGAAAGAAGGATGCGGTGCCTCTTTGGGCTGCAACCTCGGGGCCAATATATCCAGCTTTCTGGGTCCCTCCTCAATGCACACCTTGCATCTCCCGGCCATCGAGAGGGCGTGACCTTCTGTCTAGGACGCCAGTGTGGAAAAAAGGGCTTCAGAATTATTGTAAAAACATGCATCGGGGTCCTGGGAATGCAGAGAGGGTCGAGTTTGGAGATTCAGCTTCAAAATTAGATTTTGAATATACATCTATAGATTTATATCTAGATTATATAATTAGATTATGTGTATAATACATATGTATTAGACAGAAGAAGAGAGAGGAGGGGAGACTGACCAACCGGCAGACGGACATCGTCAGAAGGCAGAATCTTTATTCACGTTACTGTTCTCAGCTACAAGCACGGTCACAAAGACCTTCTTCCCAAGTGTTATTTTATGAAAGAAAAAAAGAGGGGGGGTGAAATGCATGCAGGGACAGCAAAAGTATCTTCCTGACCCTATTCTGGACCTTAGAGAAAAATGGGATTTTTGCATTTGAATTGTCATTTACAATGAGGGGCGATTTCAATGAGTTTCTTTTCTTGCAGTGAGATAACGAGGCGGAAACTTGAACTGTCTCTGAAAGCCAGCAGAAAAGTCATCACCACATTTCAGATCCAGGCTGGAGGAAAAGGGGTGGGCTGCCTGGAGGACCCGGGACAGTATCTGCTGTTAACTCAACAGCAGACGTCCTGGAAAGGGACCCGCAGGGGCTGAGGGCAGTTCCCGCGGGAAATCAGGGACCCTGCAGCTGGGTCCAGCGGCCCACCCCTGTTTTTACCTCCAACTTGTCAGCTGCTCATT